AGCAGAAGCAGCAGGTGGAGGAGATGCAGTAGAATGAGCAGAAGAAGAAGAGGTATCATCAGTACCAGAACCAGAACCAATCCCAGGAGCAGATTCACCTAATGTAACGTGAGCACCAGTCCTATCAGCAGCAAGATGACCATCTTTATTAGAAGGAGCATCAATGAGAGCACCATCTCCAGCCTCTTCAGGAGTAGTTATTATTGGTTTAGTTGGAGTCAGTTCCTCTGGTGTAGTTGTACAAGGATGATCAGGAGAAGTCGGAGTGCAAGTGACACCACGTTCAGATTGCTGATGAGGAAGGGTAGGAGGTAAAGGAGGTTGTTGGGGTTGAACACCAGGAGCGATGTCAGCTCCATGAACCCCAGTTTCAGAGAGGGAATCAGAAGAAGAACTATGACCACCACCATTACTACCAGACGAATGACCAGATGGACAATTACTACCATCAGAACCAGAAGGACAAGAACCACCAGCACCAGGACCAAGAGTCTCACGAACGACATCCTCCACTTTATCCTCCTTTTCTTCAGGATCTTCTTCCATCTTTTCCTTCTGCGCTTTCTTTATAACATCCTCTTCTTCACTCTCCACAGGACCTCCAGAAGCAGGAATAGCATGATGAACACGAGAATGAAAACCACGATTGGAAGTTTTAATAAGGGCATCAGAAGCTTTAGGAGTATCAGCCCATACGAACCCACAAGCACAACACAGTGCAAGAGTTAGTAAAAAGAGCAGATAGCACCTTACCATTACAGTCATTGTCATTGTTGTTGTTTTACTTCAATAGACTAATAAAAGAAAGAGGAATACAAGGAAAGAAGTGAGATAGAAACAAACAAACATACACCAATACAACAAATACTCACAATAGGATAGAGTGAGAAGCAGCAACTGCACAGTAAAGCAAGAAAACGGAATATCCCGTTTGTATGATAATATGTACCCATTAATAGAAAAAAACTGAAAAGAAAACACCACAGAATACCCAAATAAGAGAGAGAGCCAAACACACAAACACAATACCCCATGGCTCTAGTTTATGTATATTAAATTACTCGACACACACACATCTGTGTGTAGTAGCAAGAGATGTATACCGTCAGTAAACAGAAAAGCCCAGTTTTCTGCAAACACACACAACGGGAAAAGCAAGTAATGGAATTATTAGAAAAGGAACACACACA